CACCCTGACCACGCCCCCAGCCCCTCACTGGGGATTCTGGGCGGGGCTCCACCCTGACCACGCCCCCAGCCCTCACCGGGGATTCTAGGCGGGGCTCCACCCTGACCACGCCCCCAACCCCTCACTGGGGATTCTAGGCGGGGCCTGGTTTTACTTCTCTGAGGCAGGGTGGAGTTCTGTCACCCAGGTGAAAGAAACTTGCTGGTGAATGTCCACAGATGTTTAAGTCACATTTCCAAATAACAGAAGAAACGCCCAGATAAGGATGAACGGGAAGAAGTTTTTTTTTCCTTTGGGCGGTGGGTTGGGGGGATTCAGACAGGGTTTCTCTGTGCAGCCCTGGCTGTCCTGGAACTCACTCTGTAGCCCAGGCTGGCCTGGAACTCACAGAGATCCTCCTGCCTCTGCCTCCCGAGTGCTGGGGTTAAGGACTTGCGCCTACCATGACCAGCTCAGAAAAGAAAATGTTCACACACTGGAATATCACTCAGCCTCAAGGGAGGAGCGCGGCTCTTCCATGCGCCACGCGTGGGAAAACACGGGGAGAGGGAGTCGCTGTTAACAAGTAAAACTTTTATTAAATAAACTTTTCGGTTTTTTCCCTTCCAGACCAAAGAAAGGTGATTTGGCGCTGAGACGCTCGCTCCTCCGCACGCACGCGAACCGGAGGCAGGGGACTAGCGCCCACCTTCCCTCCCCGCGCCCCACCGTCCCCACCCTCTCTGCTGTCTCCAACATTCAGTTTGAAGTTGAAATTTCACGAAATTCGTCGTAGCAGAAATAAAGCCCGTCGTACAAATCACATAGGGTTTCTCGAGTGGAGTATAAAAATGGTATTTACAGCTCGTAAACATGAACTAGACGGCGCGCACGCCAGCACGCACTCGGCGGGCGACCCGGGGCCACGCGACCGACCGACGGGGCGCACACGCGCTCGCGCTGGACGGACACAGCCTCACCGTGGGAATGTTCAGAACGGGGGACGCGGACAAGGCGGGCGGGCGGGATCCGGTGGGGTTTTTACTCTCTCTCTCTCTCTCTCTTTCTTTTGGACTTTTTTCCCCCTCTGTTTTGAAGCAGTCAACAAACGTGTCGGTAGAAACGAAAAGGGATTTCTAAAAAATCTGTTTTTGCACTTTCTTAAACCTTAAAAATGTTTTGTGTCTCTTTTGTTTTGCTTTTGGACTCGTCAGAAGGGATCCGGACCCCGCTCCCCCGGGGGGTGGGGGTGTCCAAACTAACGACTCTGTGCTTTGCGGTGGGCGCGTGGGCAGGGGTAATGTACAGGGGCGGCCCCCCACCTCAGTCCTCCCAACCCCGGCTAGGAAACAGAAGCGGATGATCAGTGAACCCCCCACCCCCGCCCTGCCTTGTGGTCCGGGAAAAAAGACCACAGATGAAAAGGAAAGAAAAGTATCAGCGTGCGGAGTCCGCGGTGGCGGCGTCGGCAACCGGGTCGGTGTGGCGACCTCGGTAGAGACCTTCAGTTCAAGGCTGGTGATTGGAGGACGGCGGGGGTGGGGGAGGGACATCTGGGGACGGTGGGGGGACACCCGGGGATACCTGAGGGGCAGTGGGGGGCACCTGGGGACAGTGGGGGGGGGGCGGGAGGCTTCCCCGAGGGAAGCTAAGGACACCTGGTCACCCAAGTAAGGCTGTGAAAGCGGGAGGGGGAGGGGGCGCCCTGGACGCGGGCAGCGGCAGCAGCCGTGGGGACCCCAGGAACTGGAGGTATATGGTGTTGGCGGGGTCCTGGTGTGGCGTCCGGCGGGGGGCGGCCTCCAGCCGGCCTCGGCAGTCCTTGGTCCCGGGGAGTGGCCGGCTCGGAGCCACCGTTTGGCCCCTGCGTTTCATACTCCAAAAATACATAGTCTATGACGCGCGCTCCGGCGCGGCTACGGGGGTCGGGCAGTGGGGTGCGGGCTACGGGGGTCCTGGCTGGCCCGGGGAGTCTCCGAGGCCGACAGGGGGTGTCCCCAAGTCGAGGGGCAGGTGGTGATTGGCAGTGTAGGGACCCCTCAGACCTGGGCTCAGACTCCTGCCCCCCTCCCCCCCCCCACACACCACGGAGCATTCTATGCCCCATGTGGCTCTCAGTGGCTTTGGAATTGGGGGGGCCTGCGTGGGGGGGCAGATGGGGCAGGGGGGTCACTAGGAGGGCTGGTGTCCAAACTTGGCTGTAATTTACAAAAAAGTCCTGGGGTGGTTGGAAGTGGGGACCACTCACCCCAGGGAGGATGGGGGGGCATTAGGGAGCAGAGGAAGGGAGGGGCGTGCGTCACAGAACACCCTGCCCCACTTCACGTTTGTCCTGGTAAGAAAACCCCGTGTTTTCAGACCCACAGTTCCTGGCAGTCACCATCAGTTTGGGGACATTTATAGACCGGCTCCTCCCCAGCCCAGAGCAGAGATCCCCAGGACACTGGGCTAAAAGTGAACTCCTGGCGGATGTGCTGGGGCTTTGTTCCTGATTGGCAGGTTTCCTCATTGAAACCAAAATAAATAACACCCAGATGACAAACAAAAAACGCGGAAGGACTCGACACTGCTGACCTCCACCAGACCCTGGGCCCTCAGGTGATCAGAAAAGGGAGGGAGGGAGGGAGGGAGGGAGGGAGGGAGGGAGGGAAGGAAGGAAGGAAGGAAAAGAAGAAAAAAGAAAGAAAAGGGGAAAAATCAAAAGTATTTCTGGGCTCTCCGTGGGTGGTGGCAGCCGGGTGGCCGAGCTGTCCCTCCCACGAGGCCGTGGGCAGTTGATTCCACCTTTAAAATCAGTTCCATTCCAAAGAGAGTGCTGTGAATGTGGTTGGATGGGATCGACATTTGGGTTTTTGTTTTTTTGCTTGTTTTGGGTATCTCTGGCTTCTTGTTTGTTTTGCGAGATTGTGAGTGGCATGCGCTCTGGGTTTTGTGAAGACAGGGCTCTCGGGGTGCACGGGAGCCGGTGGGGACGGAGGTGGGGGACCGGAAGGCTGTGACGGGCTCCCATCTCCTCCGCTTCAGTTCTGGGCCAAGCTTAACTGGGTAGTCCAGGTTCCAGCTGCAGGGACCCAGACCTGGGACGTGTGCTGACATCTTTGAGGCTTCCCGAGGGGACGGCTTCACGGGATTGGCTAGAAGCCCTGCCCATCACACCCGCACCAGACCCACACGCCCACTTCTGCTGAGCTGGGAAGCCCCCCCCCCCCCCCCCCGGCGGAGCGCCTAGCTTTCTCTCCACCTCCTCCACCCGAACCCCACCCTCCATGCCACCCCAGCCGAAGGCGATGGGGAGGGGTTTGTCCCCACTGGCTTCCTGGAGCATCGCCCCGGGGTGCGGAGCGTGGGCTTGGGAGGGGAGGGGGGTGGACGACACCGGGGCTGGGCAGGGCACCGGGGCTGGGCAGGGCACCGGGGCCGGGCAGGGCACCGGGGCTGGGCAGGGCACCGGGGCTGGGCAGGGCAGGGCCGCCTGGCGGCTCACCTGGGGCCAGGCCCACAGCGGAGGGGCTGTGGGCGTGGTCAGTACGGGTGTCCCGGGTCTTTGGGTCTCTTCAGCTGCACCTTCAGCCTCTTCATTCCGATCTGAAAGCCGTTCATGGCCTGGATGGCCGCCTGCGCGCTGGCCGGGTGGTCAAAGCTCACGAATCCTGGGGCGCAAAGTGACGGGAGCTGGTGAGGGGCAGGGGTCCCGGCTTCGTGTGGGTGTCACGGGACTGGTGTGTCCCTGGGGGTGGGGGCCTCACGCCCACCCACCCTGCTCGACGCCTGCAACACCGATGTGCTTCTGAGGATTAGTCCAGACCTTATACATGGGGGGGGGGCTCCTCCCCGACCACGCCCAACCTAACCACGCCCCAGCCTAACCACGCCCCCAGCCCTCACTGGGGATTCTAGGCGGGGCTCCACCCTGACCACGCCCCCAGCCCTCACTGGGGGATTCTAGGCGGGGCTCCACCCTGACCACGCCCCCAGTCCCTCACTGGGGATTCTAGGCGGGGCTCCACCCTGACCACGCCCCCAGCCCTCACTGGGATATTCTAGGCGGGGCTCCACCCTGACCACGCCCCCAGCCCCTCACTGGGGATTCTAGGCGGGGCTCCACCCTGACCACGCCCCCAGCCCCCTCACTGGGGATTCTGGGAGGGGCTCCACCCTGACCACGCCCCCAGCCCCCTCACTGGGGATTCTGGGCGGGGCTCCACCCTGACCACGCCTCCAGCCCCTCACTGGGGATTCTGGGCGGGGCTCCACCCTGACCACGCCCCCAGCCCCCTCACTGGGGGATTCTGGGCGGGGCTCCTCCATGACCACGCCCCCAGCCCCTCACTGGGCGATCCTGGGCGGGGCTCCACCCTGACCACGCCCCCAGCCCCCCCTCTGGGGATCCTAGGTGGGGCTCCACCCTGACCACGCCCCCAGCCCCCCCTCTGGGGATCC